AACACCACGCGGCACCAGGCCTCACAAGAATAGAGAACTAACAACTTCATTCAACTGGGTCTTTCTCTGCTGATTTTGCCCCCAAAGTGACAGTCACGAACACCACTCGACTTAAAGGGCCCATGTTCGCGGCATGGGGCCATGATTTCGGGCCATGTCGAAGGAGAGATAATAGGTCGGCTCCTCAAAGACGCATACGTCCCCCGGGCTAGACAGGGACCGCATGGCCAAGTCAATGCCCATCGATGCGCCCCCCGTAGTCATCAAAGTGGACGGTTCCACCTGCGCCTCATACTGCTTCGACAGGAAGCCTCAAACACGAAACATGTAGCTGTGAATGAAGAAATCGGAAGAAAGAAATGTTAAGTAAGTTGTACCCCAATTGAACCAAAAAAAACAGGGTCACGGCTCTTTACTGACCAGCTCCTTGCCTGAGAGGCTCTCCAGGAACTTGGGGTGCCCAAATCGGAAGGAGCCCCGCTGGTCGCCATAGTTCAGAGACTCGGATGAGAAGGCCAGGCCTGACGAAACGATGGAACGACCGCCTCCCAGGCCGCCAAACTCCAAAGTGACGGAACGACCGTCTTCAAATGTCAAGACAAAATACTGTAGGCACTTTTTGTCAACACTATACATGAATGTAAATGATCCCCTTCTCCTCGCTGAAAGCTTTCAGCCAGCTGTGCCGGCAAGCTTCCCTGCAGCAGCTCTGGGTGTGGCCAGCCGCGCGAAAAGTCTAGCCGCACCTGCAGCTGCTGGTTGTCTTGTGGCTGTATCACATGCCACACATGGCAACCGTAGACACTGGAACAAGCAAGGCTGCACCACACTGCCCAAAACGTGTTCAACACGTGTTCAAGTGGGTCCATAAAGGCAACCAACTGAACGCTGCGCACAGAGGTTCAGTCTTTAGGTCTCTGGCCTCTGCCATGCTGCCTCGGGTTAGAGGTGCGTCCAGTGTGTCTGCCGGGTGTCTGATGTGCGGTGACACCACTTGTGGGACCACATTTTTCTGCGCAGAGACGGGGCAATGCCCACTCAAGGATCTAGAAAGGCATTGAAACTGATCAACTACATCCTTTGTTACAAATGGATGGTTGTTTGAACGGATCTGTGACACCTAAAACATAAAACAGTCAAACGCGCGCTGACATCAAAGCACTTGTCTTGCACAGTGACTACTCACTCTCACCCCATCACTTGTCAGGCAAGTGTGAGGCCATGCTGGGAGGCCATCATATCAGCCACCTTCTCACCGATCATGGCGCAAGCTGCTTGAGTGTTTCCGGAGATTGGCTCTGGAAAGACACTCCCATCAGCGACCCTGAGCCCATCCATGTGAAAAACCTTGCATTCTGCATCAACGACCTGCCCAATGGCGCAAGTGGAAACTGGATGGTAGATTGTGGTAGCAAACGATCGAATCCAAGCCTCCCAAAGAGCATCACTCTGAAGATCGTTGCCAAAGCGCTTTGACAAGGCTTTTGGAATCACAACCTCCATCTCATTGCTAAAGGATGGTTGATCCAGAATCCTCATGGCTTCTTTGCAGATTGCCACGTACATGCGACGATCCGCTTCATCCGCAAGGTAATTGTGAATCACATCCACATCACTCCCAGCCAGTCTAACTTCTCCACGGCTCAGTGGTCGGTTCAAAGTGGCCACAATGGTACCGCTCGGCACCTCTGGGTTGAAAAGTGCATCCATCCTGAAGTTCTCTTCATTGAAATCTGCGTAACCCATGCAATTCTGCCAAAGGTGAGGGTCATAAGCTGTGGCACCGAAGGAGATCTGACCATCCTGTGTGCCGCTCACAGGATGTAGGCCACTGCTGTAAAAAGCACTTGCCTCATAGCAGCTTGTTGCGGCTAGCCCCTTCCCGGTTTCCATATACCTTTTGAAGCCATCCCCTTCCGGAGTGCACTCAGACACAAGCTCCTTCAGTGGCGTGCCGATACCAGACACTGGAATCAACAATAGCATATGATCTGTCAAGTTCTTTCCAACTGCAGGTAGGTCCAGCTTTGTCTCCACTCCAGCTGCCGCCAGCTCCTTTGCAGGTCCAACACCGGACCGCAACAAAAGTCCCGGGGTGGCATAGGTGCCACAAGCAACCACAACTTCCTTTGTGGCACGTACCTCATGCGCTTGGCCTGCCGCATCTACATACTCTACTCCAACAGCTCGCTTCCCTTCCAGCAACACGCGCTGCGCCAGCGCCTGGCAGGAAACGGTGAGATTGGGTCGAGCTCCCATGTGAGGCTCCAAGAAAGCTGTGCCGGTGGAGCAACGCTTTTCATCCCGAATGGTGAACTGATGTGGGCTCACCACCCCTCTTCCAGATGCATCAAGTTCAGCTCTGGCATCAGAATTGTAGTCTTTGAGCTTGTAGCCTTGTTCTTGAGCTGCAGCAACGAATGTGGACACGCCGTCCAGCTGTTCATCGCGGAAACTCACAGCCCAAGGGCCATCAAAGCCATGAGCATCGCGGTCAATTGCTGGGACCTTGCCAGGGATAAAGCCTTCACTCTTCTTGAAATATGGCAAGACCTCCTTCCAACTCCATCCATTTGCCCCTGCAGAGGCCCAGGAATCATAGTCCTTGGGGTTGCCACGCACATAGGCCATGTAGTTGATGGCTGTGGAGCCACCCAACATCCTTCCACTTGGGAGTTTCACCTTTCCATCTATCAGGCCTTGCCCAATTCCACCCCCAGGCGTCGAGCGCGCCCAATCCACGGGCGTGCCTTGGAGATGAGCACATGCTGCTGGGATGTAGCTCTCAGGGGGTGCTGGAGGCCCGGCTTCCAAGAGCAAGACTTTGGCCGCGGAGTCTTCGCTGAGGCGCGATGCAACCACGGCACCTCCAGCTCCAGCCCCGACCACGATGAAGTCATAGGTGGATGCTGCGCGGGTGGAAGACACTGCAGCCCATGCGCGGGAAGAAACTGCTCGTGATGGCAACAAAGATCGAAGCATTGCAAAGCTTCCTCTGACTATGCTGGGCAGCGGGCTACAGCGGCAGCGGGCTACAGCGGACCAATTGAGCCTTGAGAAGAAACAGCCAGCGAGTCCAATATCGTTGGCCCGACGGACGGGTTCCACAACTGAGCCTCAAAGCACAAACGTTAACGTACATGTAAGGTATGCTGATACATGTTTCGTTTGCAGCTTGGCAGACCTCAACTTACAGTAAAGCTTTCCGAATTCTCCAACACCCAAAATGAATCAGTCCCAGCAGCCCCAACGACGCAGCCCAGACAGGCGTCGCATGCATTGAACCGCCAAGGGCAAAAGGAACGCTATGGAAAATTGAAGCTCGTCGACTAACCGCCAAGGGCAAAAGGGTGGTGTTCCAACACCCAACTGCAGTTGCACGTAGCAAGGGGAAATGGGTGGAAAAGCTTGTTGGGACCTGTTGGGGAGTGCCCTGCCCTCAGGCTGACATGGTGACACTGAGCCGAACAACAAAGATTTCCTCTACAAATGCTTTCTGGATTGGCAGTGTGCTTCAATCTTTGCCAGCAGCCATCGGACTATTAATCAACAACATGCACAAGTTGATAGCAAGTCAGCAAGTTCATGATCAGACTTTTACGTCAATTTAGCTTCTCGGTTTCAGCAGATCTGCTAAGCCTGCTGGTGGAGGATGCTTCCTCCTAGACCTACAGTAGAGCTCTAGCCAAGCTCAGAGTAGCGAAAACTCTTGTACAGGATGGACACTTGGGATGGACCATCTTAAAAGCACAAAGGCAAAAAGCGCTAAACACCTTGTAGCTGGCTCGTTTATTTCTTGCTCTTTCGTGGCTTCACGTGATTCACCACTGGAATGAAGCCGCCAGCCACTGCTGCCATGATGGCTGCAGGAATCAGGGCTGCTTGCATTCCATAACTGCTATGAGTCTCTTTAGCTGCAACGCCACCCAGCCCAAAGAAGAAGATGCCAGAAGCAAAGATCAAGACCTTCAGCAGGGTTGGTGGTGCTTCCCCAGCCACTTTCGCACGAGCCCACACACCCACCCCAGTTCCCACATCTGTCAGGTATCCCGTGAAATGCGTGGTGCAAATCGGGACGGACGTACACCTTCGGGTGACACCATTCTGGATTCCTTGGGAGAATGCAAAGAGCAATAAGGCTTCGGAAGAGGCATCGTTGGCTGCGCCATTCTGACCCTTGCAGTAGTGGATAAAGCAGCCGAAGACCACAGCCAAAGCGCTGCCCAACATGTTGGGGGAGAAGCGTCCAGCATAAACAGCCTCCGTGTCTGCCTTGCTGAAGCCTGCAAAAAAGGAGCCCACACAGAAGGCAAGCATCAAATGCAAGAATTTGGCACCTCCGTGCATGATGAGTCGTCCTGTATGACTGGTGTTCCCACTCATGTGGGACACGGTCATGCCCATGTCAATGATCGTAAGTGCGTTGACAAAGCCCGAGGCGAAGCACAGGATGTTTGAGATCGTCAAGAAGCTGTTGTAATCCGGTCGCTTTTCGGCTGGGTCGGCTTTGGGAGATTCGGACCGCTCCGCACAAGTCACAGCGCCACACAAGGCCATCAGCAGGAAAGAGACCAACAATGCATGCTCAGCAATAAGACCAATGAAGTCAGTCTCGTGCACCTCCAGCTGAGTGAAAGCCCTGGTCTGAAAGCTCACAAAGGTGCAGGCACACAGCGTAAGCAGCAAAAGGCCACGCCCAGTTGCTCTTCGTCCAAGTGCCATGACGCCAATCTGGTGAACTGACGCTTTCGCTTGTTGCCAATGGCTGCGGAACGTTCACCGAAACCGGTTGCAAATGCGTTGCGCCCTTCATGAAGACCAAAGCAACAGGAAAACCCCTATATAGACCGTTTAACCAGTACAATAACATGTGACCCACATCCGCAAGCAAAAACCTTGTTGCTGGGGCTTGCCACAATCTTTGGAAGCAAGCTCTTCTGAGTTTTTTTTTCGATCTGAGAAGTGTTCCATAACTTAACACAGCTTACTTAGGCGCGCGCACCAAGCGTTGCTTGGCCGTCTTGCCTCTGGTCTTCCTCAACAGATCACTCTGCTCACCCGAGAGGAAGTGGCTAACCCAAAACGCGCTCCTCCCCGAGAGGAAGTGCACGTTGAGATGCTTCAGTGGATCAAACTCCGGTGTCTCTGTGTCCATCTCACCCACCTAAACGCTGCACCGGAGGGTGGAATTGACAGGCACGCCGCTCGTTGCAAGAAAAAGCATGTCTTCAAAAAGAATTGTAAAACAGAAGCTATATACTTTGGTGAGGCACGGTAAGGAGTTGAGCTCTCCAACTTCCCCGGGGGGGGTGTTTTATATGTTTGCAAACGTTTATAGAGATAGAATGACTAGAGAAAGCGTTGCCAGGTGCAGAACTGAGGCACCACAATGATCTCTGTGTTGTCTTCTGTTAGACATGGGAGAGCTCTCAGCAAGCCTCTCAAGGCATTGAGGTAGATACCTGGGCCGGTTCAGGCGATCCAAAACAGCATCCAGTAGGTGGTCCTACGGCTTGTGATACCATGCCTGTGAATGTGGCGGAGTATTTCCTCGATCTAGAATTCTAGCGCCTTTTTTCTGAATCTTTTCTTCTACTTGCGAACGTGGTCCAATTCCAAATGCATGTCTTGATGATCCTTCTTGGCTCCACTATCCTGGCAGTACTGTCATCCACTCCTGCCGAGCGGCCTAAAGGGCATTGGCTTGGCCGATCCCCACGCCTCCACAAACCGACTCAAACAACCGCTGGACTCTGGGATTCAATGATCGTTTTTCTTTTTTGTGGCCGGTGGTCGTAGTCCTGACGCCTTGCAAAAATTAAGTAGGCGCCTACTCAATTAAGTAAGGGGTAAGGAAGCTAAACTAGAAAGCTCTTAGGAACAGGACGCAGGAAAGCTCACGCTGATGATTTGGTTTCCTCAATGTTGGAAACTTAACCAACTTACAGCTGGACTCTGCGATTCAATAATCTTGACTCTGGAGTTGGTCAGTTCATCACCAATTATTCAATTCCCATTCGAGCGGCAAAAGCCCGCTTGAAACAAAGGCGTTTCGGCATGTTTTGCCCGGTTTCCTCCAACCCAAAGGCCACGGTAGCACCTCAGTTGTATGGCTATCCTCCACCGAAAGTTTCCAAATCGCCAAATGAGCTGCTCATCACGAGTACCCCGTGCGGCCGCGAACTGTTCCCGCAGCCAGGGGTAGGTGACCTGCAGGGGCCATGGCCATGGGCCGAACGTTCCCCACAGCAGAAGGAGCTTGTCTTGATGTTATATATGCCAACTTGATGAACATCGATCAACAGACTTCACTCAATCAACCTCATTGCCCAATGTTTCTGGCCAACCAGTGGGGCCTCGTAAGAAACCACACGGCTGGCAATGGGGCACCTGGACTGTGAAAAAGGCTGCTACCCTTCCTTTCTCTGACCTGTCGCGACCATTATCGGTGGATGGTCTACGAACAGCTACGAAAAACTCTTGCAGCTGGGCAGCGTCAGCTGGTACACCGCTAATCTGCTCGGCCGCGGATTCAAAGAGATGGCTGGACCAGTAACCAAGTGTTCTTTGACTCTGCCAGTCGTCTTGTAGCCTGTCACCAAATCATCAAAAACTCTTACGGCCAGGACCTCAGACCACGTGTCCTCTCCTAACCTCATAAGGCCAGGTCACGGGTGAGGAATTTGTCATCAATTCGAAACCTGGAGATTGCGTCATAGAGAACGCTACACGACACAAAGATACAAAAACATACCATACACAAAACTACAAAACATCATTATATAAAATGAAAAAAAGAAAACCAACAAATCAAGAAATATCAAAGCCAGGTCACTGGGCATTCACCACTGGCAGCTTCAGCACACTTCTTGCCGAGGCAATACGCCGTGGATCCCCAACGGCCCTGCCATCAATGCACCCGAACCTTGGGTCACTAGGAGCAAGTGCATCGCTACTAGTAGCAAAGGGCATCGCTTCTAGTAACAAGTGCCTTGCTAGTAGTAACAATAAGAATTTAATTAGAAGTGTAATTACTAGCAAAGGAATCTACTAGCCAGATGAGGCGCACAGCATCGCTCGACTCCAAGGAGCAAATCGTCAACGGCTCCAGTGTCATGACTCGCCGTTTTCCAATTGGGAACTGGCTCGCAAACGTAGGCACAGTTGTACTTCACGGCGGCAGCCTGCTCACCGGTTGCCAGCTATAGATAGTGGGCGCTGTCAAGGAGACAGAACCACGCAATGCTGAAGCTCTGATAATTACATAAAGAATTCCTTCGATCCCCTTTGTCACATTGCATCGGAAATTCTGCAGCTAAGCGGCTAAAACATGCTGATTATACCGAAGTATGCCAGCAAGGCCCTCCCAAGCCTAAGTTGAAGCTCATTGCTAGTCAACTTGCTACATACCAAGGTGCAACTGGCCGCCTATACGGAGGGGTCGAATGTAGCCAAGCCGCACGGCAAAACCTCATTCTCACCTCGGTCCGCAGTGGTATGGAGTATAGGCTATGTGACATATGTGGTATGTCTTTATATATGTTTAAGCAAACCTGCCCTCTGCTCAAGAGTATTGCCACGTCACGTAACACGCCGGCCGGCTTGCTGGCACTTTGGCCTAGCAAAGGAATCAAACAAGGCAAGCATAAATGGAAATAATTGGTTCACCTAGTTTAACGTTCTTCAACCCTCATGTTTTTGTTCTCTCTTGTTCCCGAATTGTGATTGGTCAGAGTCTTTCCGCAGCGATTCTCACACTGCCCAATTCAAGGGTCGTTCGGCATCTCACAAGAGTCAATGCCCAGTCGCCTGTGCGACTGGAGGAACTTGGATCAATACCAAAGCCATCCAAAGACATTTTCCCCCGAAAAGTGCAAAACTTCAATATATTCTTTGTTCTAGCCATAGCGATTGACAGGTCATGCTGGTTACTCACTCATATGGTTCACTCCCATAAGCCCAAACTCCCATCGGTGGCCCCTGAGAGTTCGACAACACCTGTGGATTTGATTGGACACAGTACGGCCGCTGAAGCGTGTAGTCTACAGTCCTCCAAGTTCTCCTGACCCCAGTCCGGCCAACAGGCCTTCCCATACGATTTCAACACTTGGAACAACCCAGCTCCATACTTTGCATCGCCAAATGCAAAAGTAAGACATCAAGGCTGTTCCAAACGTGACTCGGATTTGCTCTAAAGATCGGTGCTTTCCTGCCAAATGTGGTGGTGATTTCAGAAGGCATGCGGCACGTCCAACAATCGATGAATATCGTACTTTGGGTCACCGTTTGGGCAAGGAGACCACACTGCAAGATGGTACACACGACCAGCATCTACCTCCACGGCTAATCGTGATGGTTTCACATGTTTCACCCTGCGAGCCGGCAAGGGCCTTACCTGTTTCCCCAACGAAGCTTAGGGGTCTTCAGCCATAGTAAAGATATCGGAGCAGTTTCTGGAGCAAGTAGTCCCAAGTTGAGGGCCACTTGGTGCCAACATCGGGCAATCGGGGCCCCTTCAGGGCTGTGAACACATGAACATCTCTAAACAACGGGCCTTGAAGCTGAGTGCTTCAGGATTTAGCGACAAGCGAATGCACATCACCGTGAACGTCGGGACATGCCAAGCCCGAGAATATGAGTCGGACTGGTTCGATAATAACAAAACAGAGATGTGTCCCTCCTGGCATTGCTTTGGAGGAAACTGATTTTCCTGAAGCCAAGAATTGATCATTTACCCTCACAACTCCCTGCCTGCGAGACTGCTGTGGTAGTAGTCGATGGTCCTGAAGGAGACGATGTCGAAAATTCCTGGCCAGGAAGGATCTCGTAGAAAGAATTGGCAAGCTCCGCTTGAGCCGCGGCTTGAGGTGTTTACCCGCATCCTGCAGCTGCAAAGCCTGCAAGCAAGTAACATCACTACCTGCCTCCAAGTCTTTTGTGGCATTCTCTAGCACAAATGGTGTGGTAGGAAATTCCTGGCAAACACATGGGTCATGGAGAGAATCATGGAGGACTGCCACCTGCCTCCAAAACCACTCCAGCACTTGACGTCACCGCAGAAGATGTTGAGGCTTCCTGGCCGCAAAGAAGGCCAGGCCAACTAGATACGACTTCGCATGGACATGCTAGGCTACAACTTCCCAGCCGGCGGCCTGTGTCACCGTCGTCTCCTCATCCGTCTGAACTTCACTTGGTGCATCTCTTTGGGCCTGAAGAGTGCTCAAAGACCGGTGGCTGGGCATGATGGCAACAAGTTGGATATTGAACACTCCTATCCGAGCTGAAGGAACCAAGGAACAAGTGCCCAAACCTTCCGCTTGCACAAGAGCCATGACTCTCCCACCTCCTTCGGGTCTGACACCTTGCCTTCCCCTCTGTGGGGCAAGCTAACATTCCTCAGATGTTGAGGCAAGATGGTCACACAGCAACTGGCCGGAGTAAAACTACACAGTAGCTTATACTCATGCTGTGTGCTTATTGTCTCTCTGGACAAAAGAACCAAATGATTGGCAAGGCCTGCCAGGTCTGAGCTTGATGCGTGCTAGTTGTGAGCAAAGATGGACCCAGTCCCTCGCGTCTCTTCAGCGAGATGGGCAGGAGGGTTGCCTGTGCTCAGAACAAAGTGCACAAAGCTCAGTCCGCCACATCTGGCAGCCCCCCGTGAAAAGTTTAACTGGGTCAGGATCGAATACAATCATATCGACTGGCATGGGCCGGGGTCTCTCTCCCTCTCTCTCTCTCTCTCTCTCTGAGTGCTGGCTACATTTCAAGAAGCCTTCCGCATTTCCCGTATCAGTGCCGTCTGTCCCCCTTTCTCCCCCATCCCTGCCAGCGACAGCACTGAAGAGCACAGCAGCACCATTTTTCTGCTTGTCTTCATGAAGATTCTCAGCTTGGTGCGGGATGCTTGATTGAGTCAGAGTGTCCGTCCTTCATTCATGCTCTTCATGATGACTATCTTCGGTCGCCCAGAATCAACTGAAATGTCCACCACGTCGCTCCTTCCATCCTGGCACCTTTTTGTATTGTATTTTCCTGGGTCACTTCCTCTCGTGGGTACAATATGGTGTTGGCCGAGGCTACAAGACTTTGAGCCTGAAGCAGCAACACGCTTGTGAGGGCCGACAGCTGCATAAACTGTCAAAACTTGATTTCACCCGAGAATGGACGAAAAGCAATGAAAAAAGAACGGAAGAATGGTCGTCTGGAGAAAAAGAACCCCCAAAAAGAAGGGAATGAATGAATATGGTGTCTCAGAACTAGTTCTGCCCAGGATGGCTGTCTTAGCTCGATTCGCTTCGTCAGCTCCCGCTCCAGAATCCCACCTCCAGGTGCGGTAGGCCCTGAGCGTTCAGGACGGCATTGAAGCGAACCTCGGCTCAAGACAAGAGTCTGCTCTGTGGAGGTCTCAATCCAAATATCAGCTGCCCATCGATCGTGCCATCCGCTCATGGCCGATTGCTATATCATGTCTGATCGGCTCATGGCCGACGTGTCCAAGCTTCCACGCTCTCACGAAGAGATTAAGACACACGTAAAATGCAAAAGGGATGTTTGAGATCAAATATGCCCCCTCCAAGATCCTAGCCACTTGGCCTTGTTGAAATTGCTGTGCTTTTTCCTGGCCACGGGCCAACGCCGCCCTGAACGCCACTGAAGTGCACACAGCAGCACACAACACCTGCCTCACGGACAAAAACGTCCTTTCCGAAGAACCTGCGGCAGTCTGAGGCAACTGAAGTACCACTGACCGCTCCAAAGCAGTGTTTGGCGGTTGAGTGTCCGGCTCTTTGACATCAGGACACGCCAGAAAGCCAAAGGACCCCGTACCAGTGAAAGTTCCCTGCCTTGGTTCGCACGGACTGCTCCCTTCAAAAGACCGCCTTCAGCGGCACTCGTGATGCAGTCGTTTCACCCTCGCTCCGAGCCAGGGCACATGGCGAAGGTGTCCTGTCCTGATGTCCGGGACGGTCCGGTGTTCATTCCTTCGGAACCCCAAAAAGAACGTTCTCCTGAAAGCCTCAGCACCCTGGAAGCATGCGGCTGTTGTCCTGCCAGAAAGGGTAATTGGGACACATCGAATGCATAATTCGAATGTCAGCGTCAACAACTTGCCTTTCCGCATGTCCACGTGACATTTGCGAAGATTCTGACGATGACGATAGTTTGAACTTGTTGAATGCAGGTGTTACATGTTGGGTTGCAGGAAGCACCGCACATAGAGTCGCACAAGGCGCCCAGTCACCGTGAAAAATCACTCGTTCGCGTCCGCCTGTTGGATAATGTACGAAGAAGGCCACCTTACAACAAGCAGCACTGAAGAACCTAATTCCCACGTTTTTTTCTGACTGGACATCGCATGAAAAAGAGCCTTCAGAGTGTAGGTCCTTTTCCCATCCAGCCTCTTGAGCGGGCTCTCTCTTTGAGACAAGCCAAAAGAGCTGTAGCCTAACCTTCAGCTCCAGCAAGGAGACACTTTGGAAAGGCCACGCAATGCAGAAGGCGATGAAGACCTTTCTTTGAAAGGCATGCTTTGGATATCTTTGGATGCTCTATGATTCAAGGATCCAGCCGAGATGCCAATGCAAACACAGAAAGGATCCTGTCGACCCTTCTGAACAATTGAGATCCTTTCTGAAGCTCTAACCTGGTCCAACAAATGTTGAATATGCCCATACCTTCGGCACGGAAGACTCTTCTGAGCTGGTCCTGTCTCCTACTGAGAATCTAGGGTGAGAAGTACTCTACGGTGCCGTGGCCAAGCTGCCTTTCATCACGGCCCTGTCTATTCATGAATGTTCTTCGCAGCTTGGGCAGAAAAGCTAGGAGTCAGAGCACGTCCGCGCTCAAAACTGAAAGGTCTCGAGAAGCACCTACTAGTAAAACATGTCGGGATCAAGGAACACGGGATCAAGGACAATAACAATGTGATCAAGTCCTACAATTCTTACTCATTCTTGGCTTGTTAGATTGCAGTATGTTGTTCCAATTTGCATGTGGTCCGGCTTCAGTGTCGGGTCACAGCCCAAAAGAGCACAAGCAATCCCACCAGAGCTTTCCGAGCCTCAAAATACCGACATGTGGCGATTTGAGCGCCATCGCTCCATGGTTGCCTGCCAACTTCACAGGGCGAGGGATCAATAAAAAACAACCATGAATCAAAAAATGAATATATTTCAGGGGATCAAGAAGAAAAATTAATAATCAAAAAAACTTTAAAAAACGTAAACGGACCCAAACGTGCAGAAGGAAGAGCAATATTCCATTAACGGGCGGGGGATCAACAAAAAACATAAATGAATCAAAAAATAAACATATTTCAGTGTGATCAAGAAAAAACAAAAATAAACGGACCCAAACGTGCAGGGAAGAACAATGTTCCATTCGAAGCAGTGATCAAAATCCTTCCTTCCTTGCTTCCTCTTCCTTTCTTGCCTCGTTCCTTCCTTCCTTCCTTTCTTCCTTTGCTCGTTTCTTTCTATGTTTTGTTTGATGCATTATTTTGATGCGTCTCCCAACTTCACACCCCCAGCGTCCCGACCCACGCGGTTCTGGCGGCCCAGAACGATGAGTGCGAAGACAGTTGGATTGGGTCCGTCCGACACGCATCGTTCGTGGCCTCATTGCAGCCAGGTCACGAATGATACACTTTTGGTGTTCTCGGGGTCGTCCTCGTCTCCAAAGTCGCTCGAGTCCTCAAGTTCGTCACCGGAAGACAGCCCGGACGAGGCATATCAAGTATACCAGTGGTCCCATGGACAAAGCAATCACACTAGTTAGTTCTGGATGTAGCACGAAACCATTTATATATGATGGCATCCATTAATATTCATGCGATGGCCAATTATCACCAAAACAACCCCGCCATGAACCAATCTTCTATACGTTTTGGACCGTTATGACAACTGCTGCATTTAGGATGGTCTGTCAGTCTGGCAGGTACACCCTGAGATAACCTTCAACCTGCAGTAAAAAACCTTAGGCCTAGGTTGGAAGCCATTGCTATTCGAATAGGTTGGAGGCCATCGCTACTAGGGTGGAGGCCATTGCTATTAGGTTGGAGGCCATCACTTGTAGAAATAAGAGAAAGAAAGAAGTGTCTCCCATTTCAGCTTGCCGAAGGCGTCCCAGGTTTGTGGGGTTTGGGATGCTGCATCCCAGGCCTCGTCCCGAGCTGTCGACTGATGCTCCAAGTGTTTGGCTGCAAGCCGGTTGATGTCGCAGAAGTCATTGTCCAACATCCACCTGACGGGGATGATGCTGGACACTGAGGCAGGAATGCTTCATTTATATAGAAAAACACTGAGACAACCAGAGTGGGATGTTTTCAGTCCCACCCACCCTCCTATGGTA